CCTATTGTGATAGCGCCATTTTGCAAGACAATGCTATACAGACTACACATTTTCAGTGGCCGTATAGTTTGACGCATCAAACATTTTAAATTTTGATGTGACTCGCCATAAAATGGCGTAAACGTATGTTGTGCGACCACGACTTAGAACAGACACCGGATATTGGTGATTGAAAGGATGTATACTACAGTTAAGGCGGTTTATTAATATATATCCATAAAAAAAGTCTTCTGATCACAAAGCATGATGCGCGATAAAAGACGAGTCTTAAGAGTGAGTGTTTGAAAACCCATGTGGTAAAGAAATGGCTTGTGATCTAAACATTGCGGTTGTGAACCCTTTTGATTTGAGGAGATATAAACATCGTTTTTATTCATTTTTTTTTGTGACATTGAGACATTTTCTCACAGATCTCCTCGCAAATAACACCGAGAGCATCCTTCAGCCAAATCTTGGATCAGGCAGTGGATTCCGAGGGCTATCTACCATTTTTTTTGGCGACCAATAGTGTTGTATGTAAGGCTTCGCGAACACAGTCAATAGCAGCCAGTGGGCAGAAGCAAGAACGAGTGTTAGGAGCGTTACAAATATTAATACCAGTGCCGTAGATCGTTGCAAAGTACATGCTATTTACTTTCAATGGATTGCCATAGTGCGTTAGACGTTGAGCATCGAAAATTTCGGCATGTTTTTATTAGTTATGACCTTTATGTCCAACCCTGACACATCCCCATTGCGCATTTGGTTTTAGCTTATCACCGTATATAAGATAAAGCTTATTGCAGGCAATGATGAGATTGTGATTGAGCGCGTGACGTCTGATTTGGCCGATTTGACCCTTCTTCAGCGACTCGCGAACCGGTATGCAGTTCAAAATCACTAGGTTTGTTTGTTGTCGCTACTTTGTTGTATTGTTTCTTGGTCATTAATTCAAGTATGAAGCTATATAACTTTAGTAGCTTCACTTTATTAATATAGTTGAGGACGGATCTCAATTCCATTTCGAAACTTATATATGAGAATACTGACGTAGTATTACACGAGCATTGTAGCAATGACTATATATCACTCTTGGAAAGTGAATGTTGTACTAAAAATGATGAGAGTATTTCCTAGAATGGCGGAGATAAGTCAGAAGATATTCAATGAAATGGGGAGCAGTGATTTTGTGTTAATTTAACAGTTCATTTATGCAAGTCTTGGAAATAAAGATAAAATGTAAAAGAATGCGGTTTGATACTCAGTTCGTCTATTATAACTAATTTCTTGATACAAATAGATAGAAAATATGTATGAAGCTTTCAGTTTTTCTCTCTCTAAGCTTTGCAATCTCTGTAGGCTAGTTAATTCGACAAAGGTTATTTGATTCTTGTTGTAGTTATAAAATATAGCGTTGTGATGTCCAATTTTGCGTTGATGTGTAAATCATTTTTATGATTCATTATTTTGTATGTATTTCGGAACTATATTCTTGATGTATGTTGTCTATATCTATATACATATCATGTCTATGCGTCTTAATGTCGAAAATCCATTCCAAATTTGTACCATCCACGTCTATATGCATATCATCGTCTAAGGTATCTGGCTAATTCTATTGTTCTGATCATGATTATCCGCAGAATTCAATACTTTGTCTGTATTCAGTAATATATCAATATTCATATGTATAGCATCGTGGGCTTCGGCTGGGACTTCAACTGCATTCGTATCCAGTGAATGGTTAAGATTAGAAAGTGTATTGCTTTGGCGGACTTCTAATTATATATGGTTACCATTCATATCTGGTACATTTCATGGTATATATCCTCAGGATCTGAATGATCGTTCATTCGATACGGAGTCATGCAAGTTGCGTGAGGCGGGTTGTGTTGTGTACATGTTCAGAGTTATGATTGCATAGAGACGCAACTGTGTATTGTACAGATATGAGTGTGTCTTATTCCATATACATTGTGTCCTATTCGTTAGCTGGAACTGTATTTTTTCTTCTTCTGTATAGTTTCTGATGCAGTAAATATATCATCAGCACGGTCTATGTGTACGGGTATATTTCTGTGAGACATACATATTTCTGACTGATGTCATAATCATGGTCACTACTTGCAAATTTATGATGATAAATCAGTGTAGAAACATGGAAATCTACTATTCGGCATATTTTTTGGACATGCTTATCGCGTGACATTAATTTCAGAGCTTGTTCTAGGAGAGGTCTATGTGGAAATGAACAAGACCATAAATAGACCTTGATTTTAGCACCCATCACGTTTTCCTATAGGTTGAGTATGTACAGATGATAGCTTTCCTTTTGTGTACGCTATTCTCAAAAATTGCTATTAAAGTGCGATTATTCTCCGCGAATACACAACAGCAGCAATAACGATAATTTTAAAAAGTTACTTGGCACGTATATGTTTGTGCCAACAAGGGACTCTGGCTTTTATGTATTGTTGCTCGGTCACATCTTGTGATACGCTTACTGACAAGCTTCATTGTTAATAGATTACTAGACACACTTATTGTGACAAAAAGGGATGCAGGCCCATATATATATATATATAATGCTGTGCGTGTATCTTAGTGCTCCCGTTTGCTACATAGAGAAAAGGTACGAAAAGCATAGAATTTATCTTTTCCCTCCTTTTATTCGGGATTTCGCACGGCGTATCCAGGCCCATGTATATATATATATATATATATAATGCTGTGCGTGTATCTTAGTGCTCCCGTTTGCTACATAGAGAAAAGGTACGAAAAGCATAAATGTATCTTTTCCCTCCTTTAATTCGGGATTTCGCACGGCATATACAATCTCTTTTTTGAAGTCGGTATTATTGACAGTATCATTTATAAGTTTTAATTTTTGAGAATATTTCGAAGCCGACAAACTGACGCTATGAGCACATTCGTGCCTTCGTATTTGGCCCGTTACTCGCTTCATCTTCGGATACTATGCCGCATTTCATTTGGAATTCTGTTGCGTTCAGTCTTTATCTGTTCTCGAGAAAGAAGATCAATATTTCGTATAAATGAATATGTTTCAAAAGGAATAAGTATTCAAATGATAGATAACCTTACAATAACAGATCTAATATACTGTTCGTACTTTGTTCCCGAGTTCAAATACTTTTGGATATCTTTGACCTTCCCGACCATTAAGCCAATGTAAAGTACGTACAATATCAATATTCGGTAAGTTTGTCCCAGATCGGTGTAATCTATTATTGTTAGGGAAAACAATATGCTCCATGAATTTCAACGTCATGCTTTCAGTGTACGGCACAAATTGGAGTTGCAATATTTTTTAAAAGGGTGGCTCAATTGTAACAACACGAGCTAAATCAAAATAGGTTTAAGTAAGGTGTGCATGCACCTACAATTGATCATGGCTCAGAGATCAAAGCTTACACACAACAAGTAGTAGTGAGTGCATATGCAATTGCGAGCTTTGGGACTTTCACCTACCCTGCTAGATTGTCGTGTATGTTTTGTGTACATTTTTTGAGCTACTTTGTTCATCTATGTCTGTGTAATTAGTAGTGCTGTGACACTTTCCCTGATTGATCGCCGTGTATCTATACATATACATTCAATATGTCGCTCATTATTGGAGGTACTTCTTTCTAAAGTAGTGCCTAGGTTTTGTATATTTCACTTGCCCTGCCTGATTGCTGTATACATATGTATACATTCAAAAAGTCCCTCATTATAATATGTTCTTCTTTGTAAAGTAGTGCCTCGTTTCTATGTATTTCTAATTCGACTGCGTATGTAATGTTGTGTTTGTCTGTAATTAGTTCGCGCGTGTGAATGATTTTGTGTTTTCATTTTTATTATTGCAATTCGTTACAATTGAGTTAAATTTGCGCGTCTCTTTCTAGACAATAACTTATTTTGGTCTGCCTTTGACAAACGGTCTTGCTTTTGCATGGTTGGTTCATTTGTGTTCATTTCAGTGGTTCGGGTAGTGTGACGTTGAATTCAGAGCCATGAACTCGAGTCTCTACTTGATCCTTGGCAAGTGACACATTTGAATACATCATTTGTAGCCCGTGTAAGTATTCTTATAATCCAACATGGATTGTGTGTTGCATGCATCTATCCCCTTGGCAAACAGAGATTTGTGTACAAGAATTCTTTGCAAACCGTGTACTATTGTTATCTTGTGCGGTGTGTGTGATGTCCAGCTTCGTGTACATGTTATGTATTTCATCGTATTTGTACGCAGAGATATATAACAGCATCCCGAAAAGTACACAATATGCAATAATAAATAACAATTGTCTACTAACAGGCTTCTACTAGAGTCTAATCTGGAAAACAGAACTGCGATACGCATTAATATGGAAAACAGAAGACTCTTTGACACCGTAATGTCAACATTATTAAATAAAATACCAAACAAACAGAACAATTCTACCAAACTATCTAAAAACCTTCCAGGAATTGCCTTCTATTTCCGCAAACTGAAAATACTGCGTATTTCTATTATTATAAGTGATTGAACTAATATTCAAAATAACTACTTTCAGCACTGGCCTATTTTGGTCCCTATTTAAATCAAAACCTTCTCGGATTCCGGATAGTGAGATTAACAGACCTGAACATATTGCCTTCTATTTCCGTGAAATCGATTGAAGCTTTGGAGGATCTTCTATATAGGCCTAAAAGCGACGAAAAATGGCGGAAAATCGATGGTCTGGAGGAACTTCCAAGTTCACGCTTTCAGTGATATAGCGGACAAAGCACATTTACTCGATAATTGCCGCAACAGTTCGTTTCGAAAAATTAAGATATTTTCGACGAGCATCTGTAAAAGATCCACGAAATAAACGTATGCAAACAATTGCGCTAACACAGCAGATATAAGGTCTGACAACCTCGAGCACTGAAAATTACTAGTCAATGAGGACGAGCAACGACCAGTCATACAATCAACCGAAACGGTCAATTGGGCGTAATTGTAACCCAAAGTCTAGATTTGAAACTAGAAAAGTCTAAAGAACTCCTTTAGTGCTCGGCACGTCATCAGTACCAGTCTTCGTACACGCAAGGTATATAGCAACAGCAAGTGCCTTAAATGCTGACTCGGCGCGATGATGATCGTTCTTTCCCTGTGTAAAAAATAGAGTAAAGGAGTCCATGATCAAATCACAAATCGATATGTGCATGCATGTGCACAAGACTAAGACTACATGTACTTTTACAAAAAAAATCGGTGGTTAGCCATGTGCAGTGCATCGGTTCATAGCGGATTGTAATTTGTAGCGCAGTACTTTTTTTTGGCACAAGACTGACATAAATCAGAGACAACAACATCTAGTATGTACCTTAATATTGTCGACGTGTAAAGTGATCATCGCGTTTATTGCGAAAGACTCCATAAAGTGGGGTATCATCTCCGTTGACATAGTGCCTGCACAATTAATACAGTATGAACTTGAGTTGCAGAAGCTAATCAGACCGCAAGCTATACGCATAGTCGACGATGTTTCCACTCTTAGGACTAATACATTCGATGATTTTGCACTGGGACGTGAAATACGGCCTGAACAAAAGAATAAGATGACACGGAGCTAAGCTATCCACCAGGCGTTCTCACAAAAATACTATATACATAAACATTCAATCGCCCTCACCGATACTAGGTCGCTGAAGATTAAGATCAATACAGGCGAATGGTCGACCGGAAATATCAACCACTGCACGTGAAAGTGCTTCATCCAAAGGACAGAAAGCATGTCCAAATCTCTTGATACCTCTAACTTCCCCAAGCGCCTTTCCGAAAGTAATGAAAAGCGGTAATCGATCAGCACGTCCTATTATAACTTTCATGTACAAATAGTCAGAAGGAGGAATCAACGATGACTCTTTGAAGATGTGCAACAAAATACAAGTAGGTATATTTATATTGTATAATTCTGAATATGAAATGACCAATACAAAGAAATTCCTTTATGTAAATATGTAATTGGCCAACATGCAGTTGCAAAGAAAAATAATATGTATAAATATGTATAGATGTATATACCTACAAGGATAAATATACACAAATAACTATATAAACGAATATAGATGGGTATGTACATAAATACATAGGCACATAACATAGATGTACACATCCACATCCACACACATATATATATATATAAACATATAAACATAGATATGAATACTACAGAAATAATATATATATATACATATATATGAATACACACACACACACACGTATATATATATATATTTGAAAATACATACATACTTACATACATACATACATATATATATATTTATGCGTATATACATATATATATTTATATATATATGCGAGTGTAGATAAGACTATGTCTCCGCAAATATATTCATACATACAGCAAACCATAGAACATTATCGTGAACATTAGCGTACAAACAAACACACTCCCACACATTCACATTTATACATACATACACACACACATGTATATAAGCACATAACTATAAGTAAATACACACACATATATATGCACAATATATATATATATTATATATATATATATATATATATATATATATATTATATATACAATATATATATATAATATATATATACATACACATACACATATACATATATATATATATATATATATATGTGTGTGTATGTGCATACATATGTACACATGTATATACATGGTATGAATACACGTATATGATATTTGGTTAGCTACACGAATATACATTAAAAATAAATATATTGTATCGTAAAGTCCTATCATGAACACAAAACGCATATATACACCAAAACCGGAGATAGATGTACGCAAACTTCAGATACACATTTCAATATCTATATAGATACACGTGTAAAAATATAAGCATATATGTACAAACACGAATACATACATATACAAACACACATACATACATACAAACATATATATATATACTAAGATAAAAATATACACGCATATGCCCCCACAAACACACACACATATATATATAATAAAAATACACAAACACACACACACATATATATATATATATACATAATATATATATGCATATATATATATATATATATATACATCTACATATACATATGCATATATATATATATAC